GTTTCAACGCTTGTTATTCAATCCCCAGACTCCATGGACACCTTTGGCCTTGGAACAAATTAAGCGTTTAGCACCCCCTACGACTGAGGGAATTGACCCCTTGACATGGTTGGAAAATAGATCCTGGACTATTCCAAGGGGGAAATCCAATCCAGTAACATTGACAGGATCAAGTAGGCAGGCGGTCAGACAAGACTTAAAGAATGACCCATTTTGGGTTACTATGATAAGGACATGGAGACAACTTCCTCTAACAGACAAACTTTYTCCAKAAAKGTGGGAGGAAGTGTGTCAACARCCTCTWTTTGACAATAGATGGATTAGAGACTCCYAGGGGTATGTTCTCCACTGTATSCACTCACCCTRRAAAKGATGGATTAATAATGGCATTATGAGGATAAAAGACATATGGGATAAGGAAACAAATGATTGGATTGATCCATCTAAACTAAAAAAAAGACTAAGATACTGTCACCATTCGAAAAAAGCCCTAGCAAGCATTATAAAGCTTATTCCACTTGAATGGATTCGAATACTGAGAAAAGGTCCCAAACTAATGATAAATGACTGGGTAACACTCAAGTCACACTCTTTGCAGATTGGTAGAGTTAGTAAGAAAGCTCAAAATGGAAGCTTTCTTTTACAAACTTTTTCTCTTTCCTCTACCAATGTAGTCCTTCAGAAGGAACACGAGGAAACCAGATGAGTCCAGGCTCAGCAGATTTACAGGATAAGGGTAATCAAAACCAAAGATGCTTGGGTAGCCTTTAAACCAGAGTGTCCTATCCCTGGGCTTCCCCTTGACCCCGAAAATTGAGTATGGAGTACATATACAAGGGTAGGAAGAAATAATAAATCATTCAAGAGAAACATCCAATCGCTAAAAGTCAAATATGCCTATCGAATACTACGCCCAAGAATCAATCTGAAAGACAAAGTCATTACTAGATGGATGAAACACCTAAATATAAGTAAGAAAGAACTGAGGTCTGTTAGATGGTTTAAAACAGCCACAGACAAACCTGCCAAAATAGCTTCCCTACAGTGGCAAATAGAACATAGGTGTCTCCCAACCAATAACTGGCTCATTGATAGATCCTCTTTAGAACAAAAAGGGTAAGCATCAAGATAGTGTAAGCTTTGCAAATCAGCCTTTCGAGTAAAAAAATTCCAGAAACTATAGAGCATATCTTTATGCAATGTCCTGGCTCCATCTGGATATGGAGGTGGTGGGACCGTATATGGTCACAAATAGTTCCACAACCCCCCTGGTCATGGGGGTGGAAAGAGATCCTCCTGGAGACATGGTCCCCTGAGATACAAGAAGTGGAAAATAATGAAGGATTTGTAGAAAATCTATTTCGTATGGGGAGAAGAGCGGTACTGTGGGCTATTTGGATGAGGAGGTGCACATATGAATGGGAGGGCGCTAGGTTAGATGAGCCGGACTTCATAGAGACTATCAAACAGCAAATTCAAACAGACATCTTATCGAAATGGGCTCAAATAAAAGAAAAAAGTTCATTTTCTTTCAGACAAATCATAAATTCAAATTCATTTTCGAAAATTCAGTTGTAAATGGCTGGGCGGAAACCAGGGAAGACGAATTGGGAATGTCACATGGAATGGGGTAAGGGAAGATGACAATGCTGTATTCAATAGAGACTACAAAGTGATATTTGAAGATTGGACTACTGTTGATCCCTCAATACCCTTGAGACTACTACCAAAATTCCCAGATCCTTTCCCTCCACCTGCATTAGCCCTCGTTCCTATTTCTTGGTATGGACTATAGAGTAAAGCATTGCTAACTTTAATAGGTCATTCTGGCGTCCTAAACGAAGGATGAAGAGGTGATGCTTTTCTCAAAGGTAAGGGACGCTGTGCCCGGTTCTCAGAAAACTTTCGTTGTGGCTACTCCGGGCAGAATGTGAGGATCCCGGCCTCAATCTTCATATTGATAATATCAGCCTTGGGCACTGGGCCCGTTTTATAAAAAGAAAAAAAGAAAAAAAAGGCTCCCGAGCCTGCCATTTTTTTTTTTTTTACGTCATTCAGGGCTGGGAATCCTGCCTCCAGAGTGGTAACCACCAGTACTTCCTAGAGTCGTGCCAGTTAACGTGCCACAATTTTAGGAAATGTATGGGCTACTACAGGAGCGTCCAAATTCATCCGACTAGAAACATTTCTACTCTATTTTTTTCCGCGGCATATAGCTGGGCCAACCCGGCCAAGTACTAGTGGTTTAAAAGGGCTCCTAGTTGTCGGAACCAGCATACATTCAATGCCTCCAGTCTATTCATGTAGAGCCTGCCACTTTCGCTACTGGCCCACGCCCTAATAGAAATACCCTTGCCACATGTGCTGGTAATAGCTCAACTTAGCCCTCTGTGAACTGGTGGTTTAAACTTTAACCACCCATACTTCCAACTTCCAAGACACTTTTATCCAGGGCTGGGAATGACCTGCGAGCCAAAAAAAACGAGCCTGCGCAGGCTTCTTTTTGCCTAGTGTTGCCAACCATTTTGCTCCGGAGTCCGAGTCGCGAAAGTTCCTGCTGCACTGAAGCCGCATATTTGATTCTTTGGCTGTGAAACGTACTGGTGGTTTTAAACCACCAGTACCCTACCGTTTGTTAAGGCCAGTGGCTCAGGCTACCGGTAGCCCGGTCATTCCCGAGCCTCGGACTTTATTGTCGAGCCTCAGACAACCGGCAGCGGCGGTAGGACACAACGAAAAAAGAAATAATAGGAAAAAAACCCAAAAAAACATACAACATTCTGCAAAAAAAAACAAAAAACAAAAAAAAACAAAATCAGACCTTTCCAACGAAAATAAATCTTCCTAGATAAAGAGAAAGATCCATTCTCGTGCGAGAGAGAGAGAGAGAGAGAGAGAGAGAGAGAGAGAGAGAGAGAGAGGGGAGAGAGAGAGAGAGAGAGAGAGAGAGAGAGAGAGAGAGAGAGAGA